CATTAAAATTTAGTATTAATCTAAAAACTATAATGAAATCGTATTATAAGATCAACATATGTCAGATTTTTAAGTTTAAATAACATTACTCTACTCATTTTGATTGTAATTACCTTATAATATTGGAAATGATAATGTTGGAATAAGGAAAAAAAACCTCTAAACTTTCTATATAACTCTGCTGTAAATTAAAGGCAGAGTAACCCACATTGATAGTCCAGTGGTGTGGATCTGGGTTTAGTCATAAATTCGGAAGTCTTGAATTTAACGACAATGAATGTCCTGCATGAGGAGTTCCCAGTAATTGAAGTTAGAAGTAAGGGTGACAATCATGTTGTGTCATTTCAGGTTTGAGTACTAGTCAATTTAATTCAATTCGTTTAACTAATTGTATCGTGTCATGTTGTGTTCACTTATTTATTTTTGTTTCACGTTCGTATTGATCCATATAATCCATGAATTAAAAATTTAACGCTCAATTTTACCTCTAAATTTTCTTTGTCACTTAATCGAACTTATACTGATACTTTTTCTTAAAAACTAAAAATGAACTTAATAAATACAATAATAAAAATGATTAATTTATTTTTTTTACAAAAATTAGGTTACTACTTGATAAAATATAATAAAAAATTGATGTTTTATTCTTATAATACTACTTAAATGTGTTTATCATGTTAACGGATCGTGTCATATACTGGTTCGTATCGAAAAATGGTCAACCCTAACCCTCTAATTTCATGTCAATTTCGAATCGTGTTACCACTTCTAAGTAGATGTATAACCTCTTTAACTAAACTACAAAATGTCCATTAAAATCAGCAATAGTAGTAGCATGGTGCATTCCCTATGGCACTAGATAAAATATTAGAAATCATTTTTGGTTTCCAATTTAACAAATTTAAGTTATTCAAAAAATACATAGTAGGGTTGTCAAGCAATTATATTATGTTCAAGTTCTTATCATTTTCTTTTTTTTTCGCTCACCTATATCCTACTCATTAATGGGTATAGTTCAATTTTTGTCATGTCGGTTCCTTATCAGTTCATTTATTAAGCGAGTCTAGACAGTTAATCATGTTATAAACTAAATTATTATGACAAAACCCATACTTAGTAATTTCTTTTTGGGCTTAAAAATTACAAACTCTGTCTATACACCTGTTTGATATTCCAATCCCATCTTCTATGTTTGAAAATACATGAACTTAGAAAACACAATGATGTAAAGGGATTACATGCTTATAACTGAAGTGGGATCAATGATAACCTATCCAACCTTTTATAATTGTTCCTTTTATATTATAACTTAGCAGCAGCAAATCTTCCTTCTTCATTTACAGACCTCACCCTATTTTTGATGTACTGATAAGGAACCATGATTTTATGAGATAATCATATTGGTTTACTTTAAACCAGAGTGCTAAAAGCCAAAATTGTTAAAATATCAGAATTAATCAGTGTATGAGTGTCTTGGTCCCACCTAACATGGGAAGTAAGTAATTAGTAGATCTGTGATGCTAAGTATTCTCAAGTATATTAAAAGATTATAAAAGATTATTGTCTTTTGTTTTGTAATGATTTGATTAAAGTTGGGGGGGGGGGGGGGGAATATAATGATATAACATCAAAATTTGGGGATTTTTTTTTTTAATGAATTATGATTGTTGTTTGCTACTTACTGTTTTTCTTTTTTATTTTTAAACGAGGAACCTTACTAAGGCAAGGTTACTTTGGACCCATTATTGCGAGAATAAATTCTGAATATCTGTAATCACTCACAAATTACAAGTATCTGTTAACCTCGGGAGACACCAGCGAAAGTTGAATTCCTGACCTTCGAGTCTATAGTTCGTTCAAATATAACCTCACACCATGAGGGTTACTAAAACTCAATTTTTTCACGTGAATTGTAACAAATGATATGTTCTCGATAAAAATTTAAACGGTCAAAACTATTGTAGCACCGTTGGTTAAACATTGACATAGCAATGTGAGAATTATTACTATTTCTTTTTTTGGAGATCAAATAAGGGTTGATAAGCTATGATTAATTATTCTTTTGGTTATTTTTTTTGGAGAATTCTTTTTGTGTGTGGCAATATATTTATTTGATGACATGGTTTCATCTTGTACTAAATCCATAATGTACAAATTCTTCTTATCAAATAATGAGTGCACATATTCAATATCCCCCAAAAAGATCTATGTAAATGGGATGAGGAGGAAGGTAAAAGTAAACCAATCTGGTGGTCTAGTGGTGCATATAATGGAAGAAACAGTATCCTTATCCCATCTATTTGTAATTATCTTATCCTTGGTGAGGACTAAGAACAAGATGAAAGTTATTCACTAATTTCACACTTTGTCAAGAACATATTCAGTGCACGAGACTCTCGGCAATCTTACTCTTACAAATAGAGGGACTGTTTCTGTTACTCAAATCTATGACTTCCAGGTCATAATAGAACAACTTTACCGTTGCGCTAAGACTTGTCTACATCTTGTTATCTTGATTAATTTAATTATAGTAACAATGAGTTGACCAAAACATAATCAATCTGATCAAATACAGTACAATTCATAAACATAGATGTTTATACAATATTTGTGGATATTGGGTGTGTTTGAATTCAGTTCTCTTGGTTTTTCATTGGAGTATTGTCCACCCTCTCAAATGTCTTTATCATAACCCTTAGAAAGTGAAAATGGATCACTTCTATAATGGTCTTTTGATCTTCTTATCCTCATTACTCCATAATCTTGGGATTAGAATGACACTCCATATGTCCCCCCTCCCCTGCCCGTCCAAAAATTTTTCAGTACGGAATGCCAATACGGCAGGAATTCTTAATGCGAATTAAAAAATAATAAGTTTTATTACGTTAAAAATAACAAACTGATTAAATTGGTGTTAAATACAAATAACCTGATTTTGACATAATAAACTTGTTTAACAAACAATTCTATGCTAAAAAAGAATTAAAAACAAATTCTTCTTAATTTTGTCAACATATGAATTACGTGCATTTTTTGTTTATGAAGTAATTACGGGTGATTTTAGGCAAAAGGCGCCGAGTACATAAACAAGGTAGTCCCCAAGAATGAAAGTTCATTTATTGGAACTCTTTAACTTCGGTTGAACAAAAAAGATTTAATCTTGTGAAGCTATAGCGTAGACGAAATCAAACAACCCGCCCAGAAGTTAAACTTCTTCTAAAGAACATAATTATGATTATATATTCTTATTTTGGGAGTGATAAAAATTTATTTGAACACAGACACAATAATAATAAATAAATTGAATTTATAACACAAAAATCTAATATAACTAACTAAATAAATCAAATATTATTAATGAATATTTTATATAAATTTAAAATAATACGACCCGAACACAAACGGTGGCAACTAAAGTATCACCCATTCATATTAAAATGGCCCTTTTGAAACTCTATTAGTTTTTAATGTTCTTTAATTGGAAATAATTGTTTGTCCTTCACGGGCACTTGAAGAGAGCGTGGAAATGACAGTTAAGAACTCAAAACTGTTATTTTCTTTTTTAACCCTTCAACTAAACTGTTATTAAAAAAGAGCACCAAGTCAGCTTTTTCCTCTTAATTCAACTAATCAACTCCTAAAGCTTCTCACACTTATACTGTTTTTAACCTTTTTGATTGGACCGTGATTGGCACTTGTAGTTTTGTATATAAAAACTTCCTTAGACATGCTTTTTTGTGCTATTACTTTAGGAACCAATATATTTTGTGTATTTGTTATTTCACCCCGATACTTTTCAAAGTTGTCTTCTCTAAGAGTTCTAACTTCTCAATATTTGAGTTGATGTTAGGCAAAATATTATTTCCCGATTTATGTTGGATTATATTAGAATTGGAGTTTCAATGAAATTTGACGGAACGGTAAAATTATTCTTTGTAATTTAAGCATTACTAAGGATTTCGGCTTGACCTGGGTTAACCCACGTGGGCGACCCCCCAATAGCATTTACCTCTCTTTGCCAATAGGACCCTTTCCTAAGGCAATCCCACATCGGAAGAGAGTCGTCTCCCCCCTGCCATATAAGTGAACACTTCCTATGGAGGAGGTACCCACTAGGTAGTGGGTACCTCCTCCTTTGAGTGCAAGGGCTTATATGCGAGGGGGGAAGACGACTCTCTTCCGATGTGGGATTGGCTTAGGAAAGGGTCCTATTGGCGAAGAGAGGTAAAGGCTACTGCCGAACGCGCGCAGGTCAGCTGAAATCCTTCTGTGGGGGGAGGACATTCTGTGGGGGGAGGACATCCCGAACGCGCGGATAAATCCCCTACAAAAAAAGGCAGTAGCCTTTACCTCTCTTCGTCAATAGGACCCCTTTTCTAAGGCAATCCCACAACGGAAGAGAGTCGTCTTCCCCCCTCGAATATAAGCCCTTGCACTCAAATGAGGAAGAGAGGTAAAGGCTACTGCCGAACGCGCGCAGGTCAGCTGAAATCCTTCTGTGGGGGGAGGACATCCCGAACGCGCGGATAAATCTCCTACAGTTTCAAGTATTAAAAACAATCTCTTTGTAAATATGGGTTTAATTAAGTATTTAGGGTTAATGCTTCGAGTTTTTTTTATGTCAATCCAAGTTAATAAGCGTAGAATGATTATCAACTTGTTTAACCTGTTCGAGTTACACCCTTAAGGCAACATATTGATTTTCTGTATGCAATTATTATCTAACTGAAATATATAAATAATAAATTTAAAAAAAAACAAAAGAAGAAGACAAAAGCATAATAAAGAAAAGGAAAACCAAATAATGGAGGAGAAGTGTGGAGAGCCACTGAATAGCAGAGATGGAGGAGTACAGTAGGAGAGAGAGGCCCATCAGAGAATCCCAATGCACAGATAGATAATACAGAGAGAGAGAGAGAAGACACAGACAGCTGAGTGTGTACTCTCTGCAATCTCTGCCCCTTCCTCCCAATTTAATCCACTAAACAATTCTAATACTTTCCCCTTCCTCTCCCTCTCTCTCTCTCTCTCTCTCAAGCCCATCTTCAAATCTATAATTTTTTCTCTCTCAAACCTTTCTTCTACGATCTGAATGAAGAGATTCCATCTATTATAATTACCCTGAATCAACCCAATCTCCCCCACGCTCAGATCATCTCATATGAGTGGTGAAGATCGCTGTTCGGAAATGTCCGAGGACGACGAGGGTCCCTCGCCGTCAGATCTCACCAACCGTAATCGTAACGGCGATTCCTGCTCACCCTTTCCAGATCAAGTCCTTGAAAACGTTCTCGAGAGCGTCCTTTGTTTCTTGACCTCACGGCGTGACCGAAACGCCGCTTCTTTGGTCTGCAAGTCTTGGTACCGTGCGGAGGCGCTCACCAGATCGGAGGTCTTCATCGGAAACTGCTATGCCATTTCGCCTCGCCGTGTCACCGACCGGTTCAGGGGGGTCAACTCGGTGGTGATTAAGGGGAAACCCCGGTTCGCTGATTTTAGTCTTTTGCCGCCTGATTGGGGTGCTCACTTCACACCTTGGGGCACTGCCATGGCCGACGCTTATCGTGCGCTTGAGAAATTGTACCTTAAGCGTATGTCTATCACTTATAATGATCTTGCACTGCTGGCTTGCTCGTTTCCGGTTTTCAAAGAACTGGTTTTGGTCTGCTGTGATGGGTTTGGGACTAGTGGGCTCGCTGTGGTTGCCAGTCAGTGCAGGTTAGATCTGTTTATTGCAGCATAACTTCATGGGTTCTAGTTCATATTTAGATCTGTAATGGTTATTATATATTGGTTCTCTTGATTGTGTTTAATCTAGGTTAATGATTAGAAACAATTTATTTGACAAATCCGAAACGAACCAATACATTTTTGTCCTTTTTTAAAAATCCATTTCGATGTAAACAAGTTTAAATTTTGTGTATTTGCAGTGAAGATTAGTGTTAATGTGTTCTTCTTCAAGACTTTAGAATGTTTTCTTTCAATTCTGGCGTCTGTTTTACTTGCTTGAAAATCAATGAAGGGAAAAAGTGTGAATTTGGGTTGGAAAAATATGGGATTTTCATGCCTTGACAGTAAATTTGTGTGTTTGAGTGTATCTGACGAATTAGACAAATTGTATCTAGTGTTTCTCTTTGCTTCAAAATCAGTTCAGAGTGTTTAGTTGAAATGATGTAATTAGGTAGTGGAGAAATTTTGTGTTCTTTTTCTTGTACATGATGGTTTGATTGTATGTCAGGCAACTGCGAGTGCTTGATCTGATGGAGTCTGACGTTGCTGACGATGAAGTGGACTGGATTTCATGTTTCCCAGAGAATGAAACTTGTCTTCAATCTCTGATTTTCGATTGTGTCGATTGCCCTATTAATTTTGAGGCATTGGAGCAATTAGTGGCAAGATCGCCTTCCTTGAGGAAACTTAGGTTGAACCAACACATTTCACTTTGGCAGCTTCACCGTTTGATGAGTCGAGCTCCACAGCTGACCCATCTGGGTACGGGTTCATTTAGCCCATCGGAGGTTGTTTCTCAAAATGACCAAGAACTTAACTATGATTCTGCTTTTGCTGCTTGCAAATCACTAGTTTGTCTGTCTGGGTTCCGAGAAATTGTACCAGATTATCTGCCCGCAATATATCCAGTTTGTGATAATCTCACCTCTCTGAATTTTAGCTACGCAAACATCAATGATGAACAACTGAAATCTGTCATCCGCCACTGCCGTAAATTGCAGATCTTCTGGGTATGTGAGATTGGTATGTTGTGAAATTTTTTGTAACGTTGAATTTTAGTTCTGATGCTTACTATTGATTTTTTGCAGGTACTTGATTCAATATGTGATGAAGGGCTTCAAGCAGTGGCTGCTACATGTAAGGATCTTCGTGAGCTTCGGGTTTTCCCTATTGATGCTCGGGAGGATATTGAGGGCCCTGTTTCTGAAATTGGTCTCCAAGCAATTTCTGAGGGCTGTAGGAGACTGCAATCTATTTTGTATTTCTGCCAGCGTATGACGAATGCAGCTGTGATAGCCATGTCGAAGAATTGCCCTGATCTTGTGGCGTTTCGTCTTTGCATAATGGGACGTCATCGGCCTGACCACATCACTGGTGAACCAATGGACGAAGGTTTCGGAGCGATTGTCAAGAACTGCAAAAAGCTTACTCGGCTTGCTGTATCTGGCTTACTAACTGATAAGGCTTTCGGTTATATTGGAGAGTATGGGAAATTGGTGAGGACTTTGTCGGTTGCTTTTGCTGGGGATAGTGACATGGGGTTGAAATATGTGCTTGAGGGATGCCCTAGGTTGCAGAAGCTTGAGATCAGAGATAGCCCCTTTGGAGATTTGGCTTTGTCATCTGGTCTGCACCATTACTACAACATGAGATTCCTCTGGATGTCATCTTGTAAAGTTACTCGCCGAGGTTGTGAGGTGATTGCTCGACAATTTCCCCGCCTGGTAGTCGAAGTGTTTAATTCGGAGGAACAGGAAGGGAGGGAGACAGGTGATTATATTGGCACATTATACATGTACCGGTCTCTTGAAGGGCCGAGGGCTGATGCACCGGAGTTTGTGCATATCTTGTGATGAATGGAAGATGTTCAACTGTTCTAACTCTGGCTTCTAAGCAATGTTTTAAGAAAGTGAACATTGTGGGTAGGTCTTACTAGCCATGGGACGGTCCTGCATACTTTGTTGATTGAAGATGGTGTACCACTGTCTGTGTGCGACCTGAGCAATTAAAATGGTGTTCTACCACAAGCACTGTATTTTATTTGTTTCTTCCAGGTGGTTGATAGAAGTGGAGTTGATTTGGGAGATGAGTTTCTCTCCAAAGGTGTTGGACCATCCAATGTTGTACCGGTACGCATCTAAGTTTTATTTTCTTTCTGCTTCATATTCATTTCATCAAAAAACAGTTTGGAGGTAGCTGTGGGAAGAGGAGGAGTTTGTTCTGAACCGGAGATTGATTGCACATCTGTGATACTCCACTGGATCAAATTTTTTTTCTTGAAGTGGAAAGTCTTGAAGATTTGGAGATTCAGAAATGGGAAGTTCATATCGAGGGCAGAGGATCGAGTTATTCCTCTCTTTCCATAGAATTGAACCTGCCTATTTTCATTCAAATGTTAGCTTTAAGACAACTTCCAAGTTGTAGCTGGTGAGAACTAATTCTCAGAATGATACATCACTCACTCTCTCCATCTTTCTCTAGAAATATTTGTTTCTTTCAGATGTGTTTGTTCTTAGCAGCTGACTGTTGAATTTATTATTGTTATTGTTAGAAATGTGAGATAGATAATAAATGCCGAATGTGCATGGACCCAGATGCTAGTGTTATTGTGTCCTTGCTCCCTTTTTTTTTTTTTTTTATCTGAACTTGGTATGGTCAGCTTGATAATGAGGCCTATTAATGATATATGGAAAGCATTGTACAAGTACACATATCAGGACCCTCCCTCCCTCCCTCCCTCTTCCCTTGCACCTTGTGGGTTCCATGCACAAGATGATAAGACCTCCCCTGTTTTCGACCCTGTGAATGGTCTTGATTCTCTCGGGCTCTCTCTCTCTCTCTCTCTCATCTTTTAGGAGGTGGCTACATGTTAGACAGAATGGTATATGTATATAGGTGGAAGCTTTTTGGTTGATTCGTTGAACTATATGGCCATTTGGTTAGAGTTTATGGCCTGCTCCATTTTCTCTATGCTCTACTTTGCATTCTTGATGAGTTCTGACCCCTCCAAAAAAAAAAAAGAAAGATATATTTTGGAGTAATATACTCAATAGGGTAAGAGTGGGCCCGGTCATTTTGTGATTTGTCACACCCCCTGTGTTTGCGTTATAAAGCAGCCAACCTCTCTCTCTGGTGTAATAATGAGAAGGGAAATCTACCTTGTGTGTTGGTACTGTCTCTGGCAGGGTTGTAAAAGCAAAGGTTATTGTCAAGGTGGGATCTGAGTGTGCAAATGAATTTAAGTGATGGGAAGCAAAGCTTGCCTTTTCTCTCCTCTCTAACCATGTGTGGGTGAAGTGAGAAATGAAATGAATCTAGCCTACCTGCTTCTTCTTGCCCACTTGGCCCAAAGGCAGAGTGCCACCTCTCTCTCTCTCTCTCTCTCTCTGACTATCTATACCCAACCCCTCCACACAAACACACTCTAGGATAAGAATAGGTGATGTGGGCTATTCGTGGGGTTAGTTTTGTGACTAACTCTAAATTTCATCGTGTAGAATTCAACTCGTGTTTGTGACTTTTAAATTTAATGATTTCTTTTTACAGTTATTCGGGATTTATAATACAAGCTCAAATATATAGTTGCCTTGAAGAAGAGATTTATCGTCACCCAAATATACATATAAAATAAAAAGGAAAAAAGAATTGTGAGTAGTTTGCTTTATCTTTTATCCACATTGCTTACGGTGGCACAGTTCAATAGACGACCAGTGGTTGTAGAATGAGAGCCGTTGCTTTTTAGTTTTTCGGTTTATCTTCTCAAAATGGCCGGCGATCCATCATTGTCCTCGATGAGAGAGAGAGAGAAAAGTGGAAAAAAAAAGAAAAATACACTTGAAAATGACCTCTCACAATTAGGACACAGGAGAGAGGCTCAAGCATCTTTCAGCTTACCCAAAACCATCGGTTTAAACGCCATCTTTGATGGACATGTCTCACCTACTTCAAGTGTCTGGACAACTGAATCCCCCACTTGGATGGATGGGTGTTAACCAATGAAAAACTTTGATTAAATAAGATTACGATTCATTAAGTATTGGAATATTTGGATCGATCCTAAATTTATTTGAAACTTTCAATTCAATAACAAAAGGTACTTACCTTCGAAATTCTTTCATTGATAAGATAAGATAAGATTTGAGTATCATACGGAAAAAAATAGATTCAAATCGTTGCTCTCTTTTGATTTGTTTATGATTATTAATTATATAAATAAGAAAATAATTATATATATATATATATATATATATATATATATATATATATATTAGTTGTGTTTGAACAAAAAAGAAGCAACGGTAGTGGACCCTTACTAACATACATGGTTTCTTAACTGATTAGCAGACTGACCCCAACCAAATTGGTAAACACATACTCAAAGGTGTTTTAACACAAAGTTGAGCATCTTTTTTGGGGTATTTGGTGAATACCCAACTCATGACTGGCCCCCACCAGAACTGATCATTGAATTCGGTGGGCCACGTGTACGGTACGTGGAGATGGAATACATTAATGAGTTCCATACACAGTAGTATTAAATAAGGCAATCATCAATATAATTAGGTGACATTATTAATACTATTTGCCTAAACAAATAGTGATATTTATGTATATTGTCAGACAGAGACAGAGACTAAAGTACAAAGAAACAACCAAAGGAAACCGCTTAATTGGTTGGTGACTGGTGTTGGTGGTGGTGGGTGGTGGGTGGTGGTGGTGGTGGGAGGAAAAAAGAAAAGAAAAAGAAAAGTGGGTGAATCCAAAAGAGGGTTAGCGTTTTTCCACAACTTTTTGTCTGTTAAGCACATTCATGGATGAACTAAGCACGAGGAGGTCAACCACTAAAGTATGCTCTCTCTTAGTGCTACTCCACTTCATTCATTAATTTCCTACTTGATTTCATATATAATATGATAGGTGTGTGTACTTGTTTACCCTGTTCTGTTGCCCAGCACTATTTCCAGGATTGATCTTTGCTTCTCTCTCTCTCTCTCCAGCCATGCCCATGTTCTAATATGTTTTTTTAATAGTTGGACAGACTCTTTAAACTTGACTTCCATGTAAATTTTGACAATGTATAATTATCGACAAATCACACGTGTCACCTCAAATAAGCCTATAACTTGCTGTTTTTGAGATGTTATATACTATTAAAGCATTCTATGTGAGTTATCCCCGGTGTTGTACTTTACTATTTTAAAGCATTCTATGTGCTTTATATGCCTATGCAAACGAAATTTAAAGTTCGGATTTAAAGAGATGACAAATATTTATTTATTCAAATGATAAAAATATAAAATTAAGTATTATTTATCTCTCTCGAATTCTATTATTAAACCTTTGCCTCCAAATCATGGGTATAGCAACAAGTTACTTGGAAATATCAATCACAGAATAACAAAAAGAAACTTAATATTAAAAGATAAGTTTTTTTTTTATTTAATTATACTTCACACCTTGAAACTTTGTACTACTTAAATCTAGCCACCATTTTCGATCGGATCACATCTATTTAAATAATCAGATTGATGGGCTACTAGTTTTTTTTTAAAAAAAAAATTGAGTGACCGACAGTTTTGGCCGTATTTGAATTTTTTATGAACCTGTTTGGATCCAAAGAAAATCAGGTGAGTACGAAAGAAAAATAAGTCAGTTAGGGTTTCTGGGAGAAAAAGATATTTAACAAACACTTTGAAATTGTGTGCAGAAAATTGTATACAAAACAAAAATCTGAACCTAATTTTGACTTCGGATGAGAAAAGATTGTAAGTATCTTTTGATTTGAAACAAGGGACACATTTACTTTTTTTTTTTTTTGGTAATGCAGCTGCCTCAATAGATCACAACGGTACGTTATCTTGCTCGTTCACCGAACTATTGTTAGAGAATCTTGTACAAAATTGTCTATCTATACAATGGAGTAAATTTATAGGTGGTAGCCTCAAGAGAGTGCATGATTCGTTAAATATTAGAATTCCTGACCTACGAATGTAAAGACGTTTATTAGATGGTCGAGCTACTACTAGGATAACCCCTCTGGGGTTTTCGCACATTCACAATCCTCCCTTTTAGTTTCTTTTCCTTTTTTAAGTTTTTCAGTTGATCAAATTTTGATTTACATGTAATTTGAATTCATTATAACATACTTCTTTTTGCTTTTTGAAAGATGTTATAACATACTTCACCAACTCAAATTTGGAAATATCAATACGTGACTTGATTGTCAAATGATTTTAATAATACTAGTTATTGTCTGTGCCTGAAGACACATAGTAATAAAAAATAGTAAATAATAAATATATTTGTATTCATATCCAAATTCAAATCACAAACATAAATGAGAGATAAATGAATTTATGCATCAATTGTAGTGGGGATGAGATGCGGTGGACGACAGTTGTGATGTTAGGAGACGGTGATAGTTGTGGTGGGTGGCAATGACCGTGGTGGTGGCGGTGGCGATGGCGGTGGTTGCGGCGACGACGACAACTGCGATGGCAGTGGCGGTGGTGATGGTGGTGACGGCGACGACGACGATTGTAGAAATAGTGGTGGTGGTAGAAATAGTGGTGGGACGGTTTCAAATATTATTTTTTTTAACGTACTTAAAAATATAAAATATTTTAAAAAAATCTCTCCAAACACACCCTTAGAGAGACTTATTTTTTTCTATTAAATTTGAGGTGTTAATATTAACCGTTAAATTAAATTTAAAGTAAAATTTAAAGCGATCTCAACTGCGAAAAGCAAAAGTCATTTTGTTTATCTTTTGATATAAGATGGAAAAGAATTTAAGCACCGATTATAGTAGGAGCGAACGGTGGTTGTGGTGATGGGTGGTAGAAGTGGTAGGAGTGAGCGGTGGTTGTGATGGTGGGCGGGAGTGATGGTGGTGGGAGACAATGATAATTGTGATGGCAAACGGTTATGATGGTGGTGGTCGTTGGTGGCAATGGTGATGGTAGTGGTGGAACGGTGGGGGTAGTAGTGATAGTGAGACAGTGACGATGGTGATAAGGTGGCATTAGCGATGGTGGTGGTGGTAGCAGTTGGGATGGTGGTGGGACGACGATGGTGGTAGGGTAGTAGTGATGGTGGTGATAGTGATGGTGGGATGGTGGGTGTGGTGGTCGTGAGGGGTGAAGATAGTGGTAATGGTGGTTGTTGTGGCAAACGTGGTGGTGGGGTGACAGTGATAGTAGTAATAGTGATGGTGGTGGTGGGTTAGCGACAGTGATGATGGCTGCATCGGTGGTTGTGAAAGAGGTGATGGTGGGGTTGTAGCGGTGGTGATAAGATGGTGGGTGGGGTGGTGGTAGTGGTTGTTGTGGCAGCATTGGTGGTGGTGATAGTGGAGTAGTTCCAAACACTAATTTTTTTTTTTAAAGTACTTATGAAAAATTATAAGTTCTAGAAGTACTTTTAAAAATTAAATCACAAACATAGAGAATAAATAAAAGAATTTAAATATCAGTTTGTACTAGGGGTGAGAGGTGGTGGGCAACAGTGATGGTTGTGGTGGGTAACAATGACCGTGGTAACAATGGTGACAATGGTGGTGGCGGTTGGTGATGGAGGCGGTGGGGATTGTGGGAGTGGTGGTGGTGGTGATGGTAATTGTGGCGGCGACGATGGTAATGGTGGCGGTGGTAATGGTATAGGTAGTGATGGGGGTGATGGTAGTAGAAGTAGTGGTAGAACGGTTTTAAATACTATTTTTTTTAAAAATATTTATAAGAAATAATTTCTAGAAATACTTTTAAAAAGTCATTCCAAACACACCCTTAGAAGTCTATTTTTCCTATTAAATTTAAAGTGTTAATATTAACCGTTAGATTAACTTTAAAGTAAAGTTTAAAGCGATGTCAACCATAAATAGTAAAAGTCATTTTGTTTATCTTTTGAGATTTGAATTGTAAGCTACTTTATTATATAGATATATATAATCTGTCAAAATTCAATAGTAATTGATTTGTTCTTATAAAATCGGACATTTAAAACTGAATGTTTTCTTTGTAATTGATTCAAATACGAAGTATAACCCTAAATTTGAACAGGTGTTTAAATCAAAATTGAATTTAAGTTTTTAATACTCCTATAAATTTGAACGGGTGTTTAAATTGGAACTAAATTCGAGTATTTAGACGATATTCAAATAAGTTTCGATCAGAATCATCGGATCCAAATCCAACCTTTCATTCAAAAGTCATATGTCTAGCTCTCTCTATCTCTCCATGCTTTGGATTGCTATAATGTCATGTTAACAGACATCAGTTTGACAGATAAATTATCTATGCCATAATGTCAAATGACAGACTTTTTTGGCTACGAATTAACGGAGTCGCCAAATATTCCAATGAGAAATCTAAAGGTTTCCAAATAAAAAGATATTATCAAGGACAAAGCCCATGTGACATTACAGACAAAACCCCTTGTCATTTGGACTGAACCTGCAGCCGCAGGTTTGATCATATGAAAATGAAACTAATTGCATATCTTTGTAATAATAGTCTACAAGAATAAGAAAGACAGAGACATCCGTTCGATGGGAATGATTAAAAATAAGAGAGATACATTTTATATTTTTTAAGGATGAAAATAATAAATGATACATTTTTTTTCCTTTGTATTTGGTTGGATGGATGAAAAATAAAAATGATTATTTTTTTTTGTCTAATATTAGGGTGACAATCGAGTTGTGTCGTGTTAGATTCGTATTAAGTTATAAAATTACGAGTCTTTTATATTTTTTATTCGCGTGTTAGGTCATTTTTGAGTTCGTGTCATAAAATTCGTGTCAAATTCAAGTCGTGTTATCATGTTGAATCAAAAATTTTCACCTCTAATTAAGATGAAAAAAATATTTTATTGTTATTTTTATTTTTTTATTTAAAAATAATATATATATATATATATATATATATATATTACATATTTCCTTCCACTTTTACATATTTTATCATTGTATTTTTATATAAAATTAATGTAATATATAGACAAATAGGATACATCTTAATACAAATAATTAACTTTTCATCCACTTTCCTTCTGATTTTGGTGAATTGGAAGGAAAATTAATTCTTCCACTTTTTCATTCTTCCTTACCAACACATGATGTTTTATTTATCCCTCAAATTTTTCATCATACCAAACAAACCATAAGGCTCTATGTCAATGGATCTTGTGTAATTGGATTTGTATCGTATTCAAATTTTTCATCTCATTTTTATTTTTATATAATTACGTTTGTGTTGTGTATAAACTGTGATTAAAATTTATATCGATCAGTCTGTTTGACAGGACTTGAGGGTCTACCGCATTTTACTATATAAATATGCCAAGATTCAATCTAAACTTGCTAATTCTGTGACAATCTTGCATATGATTTTCTAATCGTGTATAAAATGAATAAACCCCCAAAATGATAGAATGTCACACCGTATATTATTGCAGAATAGGAAAGAAAAAGATATTACTAAGGCTCTCAATGGATCATGTGCTATCAGCTTTGTGTGGCGTCCCAATTATTTGACCTGTTTTTAATTTTATATAGTCAAGTTCGTATAGTGTATAAACTATGTCTAATGAGTTTACGTCATGTTTCATAAGATTTGTATCAATCAATCTATTTGACGGGTTTAAAGAGTTTATCCGTTTTATTATCTAAATCCGTCAAGACTCGATTCAAATTTGATAATTCAATGACAATCTCTCGTATGGTTCTCTAATCGTGTATAAAATGAATAGACCCTAAAAATAATGAATGCCACACCATATATTAGTGCAGAATAGGAAAGAGATAGCTATTAGCAAGGCTCTCAATGGATCTTGTGCTATCACGTTTGTGTCGCATCCAATTATTCAACCCATTTTCATTTTTGTATAACTCAGTTTGTGTCATATATAAACGGTGTTTGATTTGACGAGTTTATGTCATGCTTAATAAAATTTGTGTCGATCAATTTATTTGACGTGTCTACCTAATTTACTATTTAAATCTGTCGAGATTCCATCTAAATTTATTAATTCTACGATGATGTCGCGTATGTTTCTCTAATCATGTCTAAAATGAACAGACCCCAAAAATTGATGAATGTCACACCATGTATTAGTGCAGACTGTAATGATAAATGGGTGGCCCCACATGAGCAATTAGTACACGTGTCTCACTTGAAAGAGTAATTTTGACTAATTCGAAGTCCACCAGAGCAACATCTTTATCGTAATTCCAGTCCAATCAACTTCAGAAAACCACTAGATAAGTTGCTCATTGCAGTGGGGGGGGGGGGGGGGGGGGGGGGGGGGGGGGGGGGGGGGGTGTAGGGGTCACAAATACAGATTGATATGAGTAAAGCAATGATTCCTATACATATGCCACCTCGAGAGACATTGAAGTATGCCTTTCTAACGCTGAATTCTATGTTTTTTTGAGGTTTTTTTTTTATCAAAACAAATTCGAATATTTTGTATGATAATTCTTTAATACACCAAAAAAAATCGTAACATTTACCCTTTATTATTCTCAATCACAATGATTATTATTTGTATTTGTATATTCCCCCCTATAAATATCGATCTAATTCCTATGTGTAAAATATCAAGAATCAAACTGCATAATTCTTGTACATTGATCATATTTTTTAAATTTGAAAAATCGACACATTTTAACTTCAATTATGGGACACATCGAGCACTAGCAGCTATGGATAACAATCATTTCATTTCATTTCTTTTCTCTTTTATTTTTTAATTTTTTCTTTTTCATCATCTTGACTGGATCATCTCTTACTGTTCAATCTGTTTGTCACGTGGCCACAACCAACACAAGTTGAGGATTGGGGTCAGCCTCCATTAATGGTTGCTCAGGGGCTATGTTCCCAACACTGATCTGCTCTGAGTCAATTGTCTTCAAATAAATTCATAAATTTGCTTAAAATAGATTTACCCACTTTAAAAATATATATATATATATATATATATATATATATATCTAAATATGCTTGTTGCTTCTTTGATTAGCTAAAGGCTGGGAATTTTCTAATCATCTCTCTCCTAGAACTCAAAAATAATTAACTTGTATATAAGTAATAAAGTATAAACCCAAATATTCCGACTTTAAAATCCCTGATCATAAAAAAATTATCCTAAATTGTCTGTTACAGTGCTCTATCTTTGATCTGTTTGTCTCCTATTGTTTGAAAAAAATCTTTTCTTTCTTGAACAAATCAACTCGAAAAGAAATATAGAAAAAAATCGAACTCCGAACTCTTAACTTTTATCGCAACTTGATTTTTTCTCTCAAGTACTCCATAGATTTAATTAATACTAGTGATTACTAAGAAATGCATAAGGTTTGTAGCCATGATTCGAAAGAACAAATGATTAGGACGGCTCACAGTAAGAGGAAATAAAAAAAAAAAAAAAAAAATACCCTCCGCCTCTAGTTTTTGGATCTTCTGGGTGATATGTAACAACATGGAACAGTGTCTCAGAATTTCAATCTAACATCTGAAAAATCTTGAGATTCCCCACTCATTGAGAATGGAAAGTGGTGTGGCCACACTCCATCAATATGGCCTTTCTGTAAAAGTAAGGAGTCAGGTTTCAGCTTCAACTGGTCAAAAGAACTTTAAAAAGAAATTGCTGATGATGGAGTTTGTTTTGGTCAGGATCAACCACACATTCATTCAAACCTAACCCTAATATAATATCAACAAGCATCCATGAAAGAAACCTCCAAAACTGTATGTAGGCTATGCTTATACCTATTTGACAAAAACATAAAGCAAAGCCTTCAATTTGGTTATAAAAGGCTAGTTTTGATTCCCCCACACTAACCATGGGACCTGTGGCTCAGTGACACCCTGGTTTTCCTCCAAAATATGAGGTGGGGAGTTCAAATCCACACAGTTATGTAGTTTTTCGGGCTATCGAAGAAGGGTCCTGGTCTCTTACAGCACCAATTTAATCCTCATGGACTTATTCAGTCCCTATCTCACATGCACCAGGTACATAACACAAAGTTATGTCTATGAAGTTCATACAGCAAACATATGGGAAAATAACTTTCAAATCTAGGATAACTATGTTCAAGTGATTTTCACACCAATGAAAGCAATATCCATCATATATTGTCTAAAAGTTGAACTGGATGGATTCTATTCAGTCAAAAAAAAAAAAAAAAGGGTCAAGTGCACGAAACTCCAACCACTTTGAGGTGTAGAGATGATCAAATATAAGCGGTTTTAGCCCCACATGCAAAAAGACGGGCTACCATCTCGAACCCTTAATAACCAGAGCACAATGGAGCAACTAGCAACTAGCAACCTCACTCTTGTGCCCAGGCCCACCCACTTTATTTGGTCAAACAACAATAGTCACATTATCACATTGATTATGAATGAAGTCAATAGAACATGATTGCAATAACAGAATCTATTAATGGTCATCAAGGCTAAGTTAAGCAACTCAGGTCCCAATAATGACATGAGTACTGTCGACTTAACAGCCACTTCCAAAACATCATATCATTTGTGACAGTCAAAATTCTACCTGTTTAAATCTAGGCCTTGCCTTTCAAATGCTGCTCTAAGATAATCAATGAATTTAAGACTGCAATCAAAAAAACATGGACCAAATACAAAACTATATATCATTCATCATCTTGCTACTACAGAAACAGAAAGAAACACCAAGTAATAAATAGAAACATGTCATGTATGGCATCTTCATAAAGAAGATGCTGAGGATGCTAGTCAGGGAGCCAACCGATCAATTCTCCATTCCCTCTTTCCATCAATCTCTCTAGGATAATAGTGCAACCTGTCCAGGGAAAAATATTTGACATTCATAAAACTCAAGTATCATGCTGGAAAAAACGCTGAAACATATGCCCAGATTTGGATTAGAAAAGAAAACTACATTTGAGTTATATTTAACTAAACCAAGTGAATGTATTATGCTCAGCGAGGAAACTCTTCATTTTATGCAGATCATAAGCAAGAACATAATTGCAAATTTTGAATTTTGGATTCCATTATCTTCCTAAATTTCCGAACTAATAGAAAGGTTCGCTTAATTGTTGAGGTTTTCCCTTAGTAAGTACCTGAAGATACTTGGGTCTACTGTTAAGTCTGTAACCCTCTGTTACTGTACCTGAAAGTGTTGCAAGGTTTTCTTCCCCCTTGTTTATTTTTTTGGTAACTGTACTGTTGGAGAGGTTTCAACCTCTCTCCAACCCTTCCCAACATAGCTTTTCATTGGTTTCTCTGGCCTCCTCAATTTTCTCCACTATACATACTTGTAATGTAACCCCACATACAACCCTGAAGATAGGTCTCTGATTCAATTTGTACATCAATTAATCCCAATGGACTCAGAACTATTACACTACACATGCATTAGATCAAAAAAGGATACAGGATTCAGTGGGTACTACAAACCCAGGAAATCCTGAAGTTTTGCAACACTTGGAGGGAAATTTTAGCCATGAACAATAAATTACATACAACGTTGATAGCATCACCTAAGTAAGAATTCATTTTGATTCACAAGTATCTTATGATCCATCAAAACTTCATTCTCTGGATCCCAGTACAAGTATACAGAACATAAGAACAATTGAGGACCAAATTTTGGACCGCCTATTTTTTGCACTAAAGACCAATCATGTAACATTTGAGCAATAGAAATGAGATCAAAGTACCTATCATGCAAGCGAGATTCCTGTCCTTGCCAAAACTCAAAGAACTCCGGTTTAAGTCTGTATCCTCCCCAGTGTTTGGGTTTGGGAATGAAACTTCTGCACATTAAAAACAAAAGTGGATTTTGCTAGAGTTTGTCACTTCGGATCTGGGAAGTCATACTTCAAAAAAGAGGGAAAACAAACTATAGTGGAATTCTTAGACCGTAAATATGTAGAATGAATTTTATCTTTCACTTTAGATCCAACATGGATGCATAAATATACATACACCTATAAGCACCGCAAGGATTGCAAACATAATTTATGCATATAACACTACATTGAAACTGTTTACTTAAACAACATATGCATAAATACAACTATATAAACACATAATGCATGCATGGAATGCAATCTTATCTGGAATATACTTCATTCCAATTTTTTGAAGATAAATTAAGGCATATTTAGCAGATTGTTTGCAACTGAGTCAAGATTGATATACAAGGAAATTAAAATAAGACATCTGAATTACTGACCCATCAGAGAATTTTGCTTCTAATTCCTTGTATTCTTGGTGGAGTACATGTCTTCCAGGAATTACAGAGCTCTAAAGAAACGCAAAAGATTAGTCAGTCGTGAAATATCAGGACAAGTTCTAAGTAAACATGAAAGGGAAAAAAACAGAGAGAGAAAGAGTACCTGTGGGCTAACTATTGCTCCAATCTGACTTCCTCGAGGACGGCTGTGGAAGTATTGCTCAGATTCCTCTTCGGAAACTTTCTGCACTAATCCTTCCACTCTTACCTATGGATAACACATTCATTTATTATGGTTTCATCTAGAAGCATTGTCTGAAAGGTATGCATCCCTTGAATTCTACTCTGGATGACAAGACTTGTGTCTACGAAAACTTTGGCAAATCTAACAAATAGGCCACAGACATGGATACAATTTTTTTGCACAGCATTGTGTTAGATATACCAGAAAAACTAACTCATAAAACAATTCAATAATACATAAGTGCAATGCACAATTTCATGAACCATATGACATTATTATGCATATCTTTGCGTCACCATGTAGAGACACAGATTTACATAGATGCTTATGATTCTTCTCCTCTTCAAACGCATGTTCCTTTAACAGAACTTTCTTGTATATACTGTGTTTGAAACTTCCATGCTAAAACTAAGTCATTCAATGTGTAAGCTTCATAAGTGACATATAGGCACTTGTCCAAGAACATTCAGCCACCTCTCAAAAACAAAGAATTTCGTTCAAATAATGGACACATTCAACAAGTGTTGAACATGGTGCAAAGAGTCTTTAGAAGTATTGGCTAACGTGTTTGACACAAGCAAAACTCTGTTACAGAAATCTCCATGTTGGCCTTGTATAGAAGATGTCATTGCAATCGAAACAAGATGGAAACAGGCAGAATTGAATTCAAGATCGAGCATTATATGCAAATAACTGCTATTTGAGGCACTCGGCAAATCCATGGGGCTTTTGGTTTTCCATTTCGGTCCTAACACAAGGACGCTGACTCAATAAGCAGCTTTTTTTAACCATAGCATCCGGTTCTTTTTGATTTTCTGGTTAGATCTAACTACAAGGTTAGGTTCCATTGCACTTCTTTAAGCTACTGGTGGAATGACCCTAATCCCTTCAATCCCAAAGAAAAAGCAGCTCAACCTATTCACCCAAAGGGCAGAGTCAGCCTTCGTATGAAATAGACAACACAGACAAACAAAAACATCACGCTCTTTGACACAAAAATTATCTTGAAGAAGCAAACACTCTAAATGTTGAGAGAGAGAGAAAGAAAGATCATTGTAAAAGCAATGGTTCTAATTAGCAAACAGCAGATGTTCTGCCAAAGTGAACACATCAAATAGAGTCAGACATGCACCAGAATGAGTCGAGTCATTCTTCACATAATCAGTCATATAACAGATGTCAAATACAACGACCATGATTCACAAGACTAGGACATTTTTTTCTGCTGTCGTGTACTAACAATCCTCAGCTATTCAGCATAGATTTGAACATAATGTTGTTATTTATACCTTTTTGCCGTCAAATATGCAATGAGATTTTTCTTAGCAGAAGGACAAGAACGAATAGCACCATGCTTATAAAGCACTTCCTTCCAATGCTTTAATGGTGTTAGAGAACAAAAATTATTGCTTACTTGGCGATTTAAAGCATCCCAGTAGAAAAGAAGTGACGCACGAGGGTTTTCAGACAATTCTCGGGCCTTTCGGCTTTCATAATTGGTGTACCTGTCCATGGAAAGTGTACTCATGGTATCAGGCAAAATCTTTATTTCCAGAAAAGCACTTCTGCAGCATGCACTAGCATAAGGGCTACTGAACGGCACTAACCAGACAAAACCATCTTTATCAACTCCTTTTAGCAATACCATTCGTGATGAACTGCAGCCAAGAATTCTATGGTTTAGGCAAACAAAGTTTCACACAATCGTATCATCTTGACAATCACAATGGAATATAGGAATTCTCCCTATAGAGATATCTGATCAAATTGAAACAATGCATTAGGAAGTCTATCTATGAATGTGTGTCATATTCTGACACAATTTGGCTACTTAAAAAATTAAGACTCAGGTACACTGCAATATACTATAAGATAGGTCATTCAATTGAAGACAAAACTCCACTTTGATAAGATCATGTACTATTCGTTATATTATAATATAACTCAGTATTCCACATATTTGAGGTCGGCTACATGGATCAAGTTTTTCTATTGTGCTCTACCAAGGGTCATACTTGTTAAACTGCAAGCTCTCACATCTTGCTTTACTATCTCATTCAAAGTGATTTTACCCTACCCATGCCTCCCTCTGGCATTACAATTGATATGTAACACGCCACTCTTTCTCAGTAGTGCAATACTAGGTCTTCTATATTCGTGTCCAAACAACCTAAATTGAGAGTATCGAATTTATCTCCTATTGGTGCTACTTTTGCAATTTCACAAGTATACTCCTTTTTAATTCTATTCCTTCAAGGTTAGCCCACAAATCCATCTTAAGATTTGCATTTAAGCCACACTTAACTTTTGAACTTGTTTTTGAAGTGCTTAATATTTTGTACCACAAGTCATTGTTGGTTTGGTAGTCCCCCACATTTTTAGGTAAATCAGTCTCCAACACCTCGTGGATAACTTATCCTAAATATCAAGTGTTCGATCTTTGTGTCTCTTGGTCTTAGATCTTTTACTACCTCAGTATTTGAATCTCTACTTCTCCTAAACCTATAATACAACAGTTTTATTCTACTCATCTTGAATTCTTTTGATTTTAAAGATATCTCTTTATTACTTATTTCTAGTATGATCAATACTATATCTTCAGCAAATAACTTACCTCAAGAAATCTCGTCCTAAATGTGCCTAGTTAGTTTGTTCACATCAAAACCGAAACATACGAACTTAAGGTGAAACCTTAATGTAATCCTACAGTGATCAATAATCCACAATTCTACCCTACAGTTATTCTCACTAAAGTGATTACGTCCTCGTACATATCCTGAATCTTGTTAAGATACATTTTTGTAACTATTTTATTTCCTAAAACCTACCATGAAGATCTTTTTTTTTTCTCAATATCTCTCCAAAATATTCAATTTTCCAATAGGGGCAAAGATAGTGGGGCAATAAATGTAGTTGTTTTATCTCTCCCAAAAAAAAAAAAGAAACAACAAAAGGAAAATGCAAAACACTTTAAAGGATCTGTGTAAATGGCCACATCAGTCACCTAAATGTGTCAACAAAACCATAAATGAAAAATGAAGAAATTAGCAAAAACGGGGGACACATACGGTTTCCCATCTTCAGCAGCAGTTGACAAAGCCATTGCATTTGGCTCCTTCAAGCCTGCAGCCACTGCATCATCGAACCATTTTTGAAACTGTACAAAGATGAAATGTTTTTATTCACATGCAGTAAAGAGGATTTAAAACAGAGTATGTCCAAGTCATACTTAATAAATAAGTTCTCAGACAATGCTTGCTAATTCTAGCAACACAAGAATTCTGAGAGGTATCACGGTAAAGGAACCAGAAGTTACTGTTCAACACGTGCCATACCTGATCAAAAGGGTCAGGCTTCACCTGGTCCTCAAGAAACTCAGGAGAAATATAGTTCTCTCTCAAAGCTGATATGTCAATTTGTGGAGCCTTTCCAATTCGAACACACATAGAAGTACCAGGATATGGTGGAAGTCGAAGCTTATATTTGTCTACAATAGATGGTGGAACAAATCTCCCCCCCAGAAAGTGGTGTGGACCATAAAACTTCTTGGCGCAGAGTTTAGGAGCAGTTAAAGAAACCTAAAACATGTCAAAGCTGCACTTAATAGATGGTGCACTCAATATGGAAGAAGTACAATTCTACAGAAACATTCCAAACTTAAGTCTTGTGCCAAAATGTTAAATACCAAGTACAACTACTTTCCAACTCAAATATACCAGCATGTCAGGTTTGATGCCTTCACCACTGATATCTCCTTCTTCAACATGCCACCCTGATGGTATATCTATAGATACAATGACAGGGGATCTCCGAGGTGTTTGATCATGATTTAGCAAACAGGTCAGCCTTCGAATAAGGTCATCAAATGGTGGCCTTGGGGTTCCTGACGAATTACACAGTATTCACACTCGGATGAAACAAAGGATTACACGAGGACATTAGTAATCAAATGCAACATTTTCAGTCAATACTACATATTTCTGGAGAAACTCCCAGCACTGCTTTTAGCCTGAAATATGAAAATGGATGATGCAACTTCTGCAAAAAAAAAAAAAAACTTTGTATCTTTAAAGTTGATTGATCTAGGAGATAGTGTTACTAGATACTTGTTTTGATTCCCTACAATTGAATATTGAGTTTGCTTCCAGTATCTAGAAAAATAAGATGGCTGACAATATTCTAGTCTATTTTCTGATCTGCTATAACATCTTCTCCCATAGATGTTGCTACGGAAGATATGGAAATTCCAAAAGCCTTTCACACAAGATACTTCTCGAGACACGATTCATCCAACAATACTAAATGCATAGTAACGATAAGGAAGTTGACACTTTAATGAAAGCAATAGGAATAGTAATGCTAGGAATATGTGCATGTATACTGGTCCCGCTGAACAGTCAAGGGCAAATGATTTAGATGATCTGAAGTTGTCCAATATACATAGAGGACATCAGTAGAAATGACTATGAATTGATGATAGTACAGCAAACAAAAGGTCAAAAAGAGAGAGATTGGGTTAAATTGAGATATATATGATATTATGATACAATGTAAAAAGTGTTTCTCCAGGAATAGCAAAATGGGGCTATCGTTGAATATTCATAAGAATAGAAGAATCATTTTTTCTAACTCAACACATGTATTCTGGGAAACATTTAATAGGGTCATCCGGTCATGTATCTTTTAATTTCCAACAAATAAATTTTTAGTTCTTTTTCGACTTCTTTACAGCAAAGCAGAATGACACATAAACAGAGAAATTTTCCAAAAGAGACTGAGAGGAATGATTACCATGGAAGGAGAATCCAAACATTGCATCTACTATAATGTCAAAATCATTTGATAAGATAGGTAGATCTTCCACTGAGAGGAAAGGAGCGGCCAGTGATTCCACCTACAAAATTACTGCAACAAATAAATAAACCAATCTTCATTAACATTTAGATTAGCACCATTCCTATACCTGAGTCACCAGACCAGTATAAAGAGGCTTAGGAGTACGTGTTGGATAACAAACAAATGGTTTGTATCCAAAGTGATATAGGTGACGAACAGCTACGAGACCATCGCCTCCATTGTTTCCCGGTCCACAAATGACAAGTACGCGATTATATTCATTTGATCTGTAAACCTGTTGACAGAAATTTGCATTGAAGAAAGCAGCATACAACCAAAGCAAGGCTCTTAAATAGACACTAAGTTGCTTTGCATAGACAATGATGAAATTTTTTAGTCCCTTGGATAGTACGACCACCCTCCCTCACCAACAAAAAATCATATACAAGTAATATACAAAATAAGAGATTAATTAGTACACGTTCACCCATCTTCCAAATGGGATTTGGAGTTACACTTTCCCCCCAGGGTTCCAAGAAATACCACTCAAGCTAAAATCAAAACCATTGTATCACCCAATAACCTGTTATATATTTAAAAATCCAGTCCGAGGCTTTCTATCCTGAAAACTAATATCCTGGCACCAATGGTGATAAATTGCATGAGCCGATATGGGTGAAAATTAGCCAAGCCAAGTAGCTAGTAGCCCAATTTTGACCAAGCGTACCTTAATCCATGGCAAAGCCCGGTTTAAGGTTGGTATGACTTTAGCTGGTTTGGTTCAAACTTGGCTTGATAAAGATTGACCTTAGCTTGAGCAGTTTGAAAAGGCGTTTTTTGTTTTTTTTCGATAAGAAACAACATAAAAGGTGTTACTTGTTGAATCCATGAAGCTTAATTTGCCAACAAGTAGATAAAGCAGGGACAACCTAACCTCAAATATAATACCGTTTGCATCGAATAGTTAGGCTATTGAGCTATCAGATAAGTTCAACATGCAGCGATAATTAAATTCATGTGCAAGTCTTTTACGAAGTTAGCTTAGTCATTATAGCTTGTATGGCAGTCCACATAAGTTCCCACTACCATTGACTTATCCGCCAGAGAAGGAAGGACATGTTTGGCAGGACACTTTGACTTGACCATAGGTGAGCAATGTAATATCCATCAATGAAAGCACATGAGCACACCTATATTTAGGCATATTGTCTGGCATGCTGGCTAGTTGACTCGAACGAGTGAACTCATTGTTGCTCAGCTTGGTTAATTTGTAAAATGAGCTCAAAAATGAGGCACAAGCTTGGCAGATTTTGCTTACCAAATGATCAGCTTTTATTAGCCAAGCATGAGCTGAATCCAAGCTGCTCGGTTCATTTTCCAGCCCTAAGCTGATATTTCCAGTTTTATAGGTAACAATCTAGCACTCCTTAAACAATAACCCATTATCATGTTATAACCTTGCACCTAAACTTAGATCCAAACTACAGTATTAGACATAAGACAATCACCAACCACAATGCAGCAATATAATCTACAGCATTGCAGATGGACCAACATCATGCTTTGTCCTTTTTTGTTTTCACCAGCATTCTGGCACCATTTCATAACCTAGCTATGATATATGTCTAATGAGTGTATTTCAAACAAATGTTCACAATTGCAATATGAAATGGCATGTAGTAAACAACAACTAAACTCAAATACCAGATTAAAAAAAACTCGAGTGTTTGGGATCATGAATTCAGGCCCTGGAAAAACGGAACTTAGGGGCCAATTAGTTCAGTTCTTGAACTAATTATCCCCTCATTCTAATTTCAAAGACTCAATTTATTGCTGCTGCTACCAGACACAGCATCAGAAGAACCCAATTCTAAGGAACTTCAGCAATTAATCCCAGGCCGAGAGATTGACAAAACAGATCGCTTTAAAACTCAACTAAGTCCCACCAAATTACTGGATTATCATCTATAACCCGCATCACAGAACAGAAGAAAACAACGAAAAAATTATGTAAACATCAATCCGAACACTTACCTCGGCAATTGCGGAAGCAACGCTCAACCCAGCCAACTCCTACAAACACAAACACCCAAACAACGCTGCTAGCAACTCAATTCACTTGACTCCAATTATCGTTAACAGAACTTGACAATTAAATAGCAGACTGAAACTTGAAAAAAACTTGAACAAGAAAATTAAAAACACTGACCATTAATTGATCGACGCTGAACCCAAGAGGACCCATGAGTTCCTCATCAATCTCGGCCGCTTCTCGCTGCGATAGGTACGTAATGGATTCCGAATCTTGCAAGCTCTGTATTGATGAAACCACTCTATTGGCCATTCCTCTCACTTGGCTATAGCTCCAACTGAACCCACTAATTTCTGACTTCGATTTCGGACCCAACAAAACCTATATTCACACTAAATTCGTTAGTTAATTCGCTAGTTCGACGACAACACATGTGTATAGAGGTGTCTGATGTGTCTCAGTGCGTGCCTTTGTCTGGTGTGTGTGTGTGTGTGTGTGTGAGAGAGAGAGAGAGAGAGAGAATTACCGAGAGAGGATTTGGAGGAGGGTTGTGGAGAGAGAGAGAAGCTTTGAGAATGGCGGTGGTGTTGATAAAATCAGAAGGGAGGAGTAATTGGGTGAGAAGGCATCTCATTGTTTTGCTTTTGCGCAACAATGGCAGCATTTTAACGAACACATGGACTACTCTTCTATCATGTAAAACGGAAATGTCCAGATAAAATCTTTGGTTTAATTACAAATTAGCCCTCTTAAGTTTGGGTATTGTGGCAATCAACTCCCTCTAGTTTAAATTTAACACCAGCCTTAATCTTAGTAAAACCAGAATAATAGGCGAATTGTACTTTACATTTTAGAAGATTTAAAGATTCTTATTTTATACCCTTACATTATACCTTTAATGTATCAAAAAGATTGTACTATAAGTCTTCTATCAACTTCCATTATTTTTTTCTCAAAAATAACTCCATTGACACTGACAAAAAAAATAACAAAATCTAACAAAAGGATTATATTGTTACACTTTTGATTTATTAAAAGTGTAATGTGAGAAGTTTAATTCTTTAGTGATAGAAAATAAAATTTTTTAAATCTTTTAGAGCTCAAAGTGCGAGTCTCCCCCGTTAAATAATGATTCCCCCCCCCCCCCCCAAAAAAAAAAAAAAACCCAAAGTTTCTAGATGACTAAATTAATTGATTTAGCAGGATGAAAAAAATAAAATTCCTAAGATACACCCTAAAGCCTTAATGTTGTTTCTTTCTTTTCTATGTATCCAGACACATATTGTGAAAATCTCTCTCTCTCTCTCCAATTAGATACATGCCCACATAAATCGATTCCCAGTTTGGTAATTTTCCTTTTGATTTTTTCCAATGCAGCCACAAAATCCTGATGCACCTTCCCTATTTTTCTACAATAAGAGGTTAAGCAATGAGATTGCCAACTGCCCTTATCAGTTTCTCTCACAGAGAACAATTATATGGGTTTATGCTTCTGTGTTCTTTGAAATATGCCTGAAAATGTTCCTTTTCAGTTCTTGTTTTGCAATTTTAATGCCAAATCACATAGCTCAAACAATTTGGCAAAAACCCAGCTTTCTCCCCAGCTAATACAAATCAGTCAATACCAATTATCAGTGCAAAATTTTGTTACCAATATGATGACAATGAGGACTTAATGCTGTGAAAATAGCTGCAGAGATAGAGTGCATATTTCACTAGTTTAGAAGACAATGGAAAATGTCTTCACTCTTAGACTTGTCCAGTTGCTTCATGTACTTGTCAGCAGCATGCCCTGGGATATAATCTAGGTGGATAGTTATGGTTTTACTATGCTCATTCAGCCTAGAAACATTCTGTCAAACAGATGCGTATAATGGTATTCAATAAAAATCTTTGTGGACTAGTAAATTCAGTAATGATTTCCCTTTTATCTCCCATCGCAATGAAATTTAAATCTACAAAATTTATATTGCGTGCTCCAAACAGCATATTGCGAGCACAAGCTATCTCTGGCTGTGAGCTAATAACAAGATAAGTAAGACTGTTGTGAAATATGTGTAAGATCAGTTCAAGAACGCTGCAACATTCCAGGTATATGGAGCTAAATGATAGTGGGATTCACAAATATAGGCTTCCACACAAAAATTTGAGGAAACTTCTCCTTTAATCAATCTAAAGAGCTTCCTCTCTGCATATTTCTTGTTCTTCTTTGCTGGTAAGTACCTTTTGAATCCTTTTAAGGAAGCTCAGCATGAGCTCTAAACCACTCTCATCTGGAGGACAGGGAAAGACGGGAGTTAAAAGATTATGAATTGCATACAACACATATTCCGCATATTATTTACCTATCAGAAAAAAGGGATTCATTATAGAGAAGTTGGGTGGGTGAAAGTGATTAAGCAAATTACCAAATCTTGGTATCGTATGGCCTCTAGGATGATGAATCACAATAGGGTCTACGAATGCTTCCAAGAGTTCAAGCCCATATTCCTTTAGGAAATCCTTCTCTCCTGCACCACAGTATTTGTCAGGAACTTTCAAGTAGTAAAATGGATTCTTTTATCTTTGATATTTATTATTTTCTGTACTTTTTTATTTTTCCATGAGCATACCAATTATGAATAGATAAGAATGGACATCAGACTCAAATAAGGAGCTTTCTAATAGTATTTAATCCATGTGTGTACAATCTCCAAGATTGTAATATAAAAGGCAGATCATAACAGGACATTCTTGCCAAATTTTCTCTTATGCCACCCAACAAACATATCATCAGATTCCAGTGGCAGCAGAAGACCATCAAAGGGTGAATTGATTGAAGTAACAAATCAAATAGAAAAATATAAATGTAACAAGGAAAGAAAAGGTTTTCCTTTTGCTAATTTAAGAATGTTGCACTTCATCATTGTTTGATCATTTGTTCTAAGTTTATTTCATAGTTAAAGTGCAAATTTCAGGCATCTATGGTGGAATGTACCTAACCAAATTCCATAGGCATAATGCTATACCATAATCAATGCTTAATGTGAAAACCGTAACATAAAACATCTCCCTTTAAACCCTTTTCCTGAAATTGACTTGCCAAAACTTATTTGGCTGTATGATTCTGACCACACATTCCCTATAAATATCAGCTAAGAAAAGCATATCCCACAAAAACTTTTGCACAAGAAAGATGACTGGCAGAATTACCTAAGAAGTGAACAGAAGGGCATTCAGTCGAAGACGAATAGGCCTTCTCAACCACTGTTGGATTCCTAAAGTTGGCCCCTCCAATTATTATTACAAATTTTATTTTGGGTACTTTCATAAGAGCCACACCCTGCAAAGATAGAACACAGCACCACAGCCACCATTCAGATATTCTATCATTTTTCTGATATCCGTTAGAAAACTAACAACCAACCTCTGCATACCTTTGCTTGCAACCCTGGTAATGCAGCCGATAAAATTGCACCCTGAATTGTTCATGAACACAGCCAATTCAAATACAAATATATGTATACTAGTTATTGCCCGTGCTCGAAGGCACGGAACAATAGAAAACGTGGTCAATAATAAACATATTTGTATTCACACCCAAAATTAAATTACAAACATAAAGGAGAGAGAAAAGAATTTAAGCATCGGTTGTAGTGGGAGTGAGCGGTGGCAGTGGTAGTGAGTGACAGTGGTGGTGGTGAAAGACGGTGATGGTTATGATGGGTGGCGACGACCGTCATCGTGGTGGCAGTCGTGGGTGACAATAGTGATGGAAGTGGTGGGTTTTAGGTGACGATGATGGTAGTAACAATCATGGGTGACGGCAGTGATAGTGGTGGGCGATGGTGATGGTGGTTAGCAGTGGTGGTGGTGGGGTGACAATAATGGTGGTGGCGGTGGTGGGTTATGGTGGTGGCCAGTGACAATGGTGGTGGTCGGTGACGACGGGTGCTTCTAGGTGATAGTGTGATGGGTGGTGGCGAATGGCGATGGTGGTGGTGGTGGTTGGTGTGATGGGGGTGGATGACAGTGGGTGTCGGTAGTGGTGGGCGATAACGGGTGGTGGTGATAGATGTGGAGGGGGTGAGTGATAGTAATGGACAGCGATGGTGGGCAATGAGGGTTGGTGATGAGCTGTGGTAGTGGGTGACGATGTGAGATAATGGTGATAATAGTAATAAATATAAAAATGAAGCGACGATGGCAGTAGTGGTGGGGCAGTGGGGTGGAGGTGATGGGACAGTGGCGGTAGTGGTAGGGGTGACGATGGTGGTTATGGTGGAGTGGCGACAGCGGTAATTGTAGTGGTGGGGTGGCGACAACGGTGGTAGTGGTAATAGTCGAGGGAATGGTGGTGGGTGGCGGCGGTGGGATGGCGACAACGGTAGTGGTGGTGGCGGCGACGACGATGACGGTGGTGATAGTTGTTGTGGCAAAGATGGTAGTGGGATGGCGGTTCTAAACATTACTTTTTGTTTTTTAAAAGTAAATATGATAAGTTATAAGTCCTATAAACACTTTTAAAAAGTCACCTCAAACACATTTTTAGGGACCTATTTTTTCTATTAATTTTGAAATATTAATATTAGTCATCGAATTAACTTTAAAAAGTAGATAAGGAGGAAAAGAGTTTAAAAAAAAGGAGAAATACACTAAATTTTATAAATTTGGATGGTGAATAAATTTGGAAGAAAGTTTTAAATATTTTAAATTAATGGGTCTTGATTAAGTTTTAAATAAAATAATATTTAAAGTCAAAAGATGGACACTTGAGCTTGAACTCTATAACAGATTAATTATTTTTCTTGGCCCAAGAGTTGTGTCTCTTTTTTATACCTCTTTGGCTCAAGAGTTGTGTTTTCCTGTTACATCTCTAAGATATTATAAATACCTGTACAAATCCTTCAATAAAGACAGAACGTTTCTCTATTCTGTTTTTGGGAGTATTTTAAAGTTTGTTATCTAAAATTCTGTTTGACTTTGTTAATCCTAGAGGAATTTGCTATAAATCCAACAACAACACAGTGAAAGTATAATTTTCTAAAAGAGAGTGAATATACGTTCAAAACCTTCTAATCTGTTAAATTTATCTCGCTAACATGCAATGCCCGGCTCAAGACGGAAATATACAATAAGAATGTGCGTGCAGGCTGAGGTCTGCAAGAATCACTACGCTGTCTGTACCCTGCTCAGCTTTTGGCGCCGTTTCTACGGAAGCCCCTAAATTTTTAGGTCCCTTAAATAAATTATTTGGAAAAAATTAAATTTATAATTTTTTTAAGCCGACAAAAAGGCATCATAAAAACATATATCTAATCGAAAATAATTTACATTCAACGAGAAATTGTAAGGAATATAACAAATTAAATTTAATTGTCAAAAAGTATACAACTTTTAATATTAGGTAATTAAATCATTTTTTAAGAATTTAATTGTGTTCAAGTACACAATTTATTTATTTATTTTTTTTTGACATTTTTGTCTTCCCTTATATTATGCATTCTGTTTTAAGTAATTAAGTTGAGTTTTGATTTTATTTTATTATATTAATTTTTTTTAATATTATGGTTGATCTCCCTTAAATCATTCATTCTTTTTTAAGTAGTTAAGTTGAGTTTTGATTTTATTTTATTGCATTAAAGATTTCCTAATATTATGGTAGATTTTAAATCATGCATATTT